GTCTTCATTCATACCATTAGGAATATGTGATTGAAAGTAATTTCCCCACACACTGTTTGCATGTTTTTGTAATACACGTGTTTTGTCAGGTGTACTACCACCAGATGTGAAATAGAACACTGTGAGGATTTACTTGGTTTGTTATAATAATCTTACCATTCCTTGTAGGAGGTAGAAGATGAGGTTATTCAGGTGAGCTTCTGTGTAAGGCGTGTCTCGGCCTTGGCAATCTGGAGTGAAAAACCAGATGGGATAAGGGCTGAACATAAGACCATGCTACAGAGACGGGAAGTAAGACACTTTAGAGGCAGTTTCATGGAAGCTGATATTGGAGCATCTTATCACTTCAGTTAAGGTAGAGCGCAGAAGTCAAAAGTCCAGTTGGCCAAGGGATATACAGCATTAGTTCTCAATGTTTGGGGTTAGAATGTTAGAATCACCTAGGCTGCTCTTTTTTTTTTTTTTTTTTTTTTTTCTTTTTTGATCCGGGAAGCAGTATTTTTAAAAAGCCTCCGGGTTCCCTGCTTAGCCGGAATTAAAAAACAAACAAACAAACAAAAAACCAATTACATAAAGGAATTAAACAAACTTAAAGGTACGGAACATTTGTCCAAAGGTGCAGTATCATTGCAACAGACCTGAGATCTCAGTACAGTAACCCTGAATTCCAGCTGGGAGGAAAATAAATCTCCGGCCGGGCACGGTGGCTCACGCTTGTAATCCTAGCACTTTGGGAGGCCGAGGCGGGCAGATCACGAGGTTAGGAAATCGAGACCATCCTTGCAAACACGGGGAAACCAAGTCTCTATTAAAAATACAAAAAATTAGCCGGGCGTGGTGGTGGCGCCTGTAGTCCCAGCTCCTCGGGAGGCTGAGGCAGGAGAATGGCGGGAACCCGGGAGGCGGAGTTAGCAGTGAGCAGAGATCCAGCCACTGCACTCCAGCCTGGGCGGCAGAGCGAGACCCTCTTTCAACAAATAAATAAAATAAAATAAAAATATTTTTAAAAACTTAAAGCTCCTACAAGAGTGGAGCTGAGGCTACTTCAGGTCTTGCCTCAGTCTAACGGTATTAAGGCTAACGGTATTAAGGAACTAGAGGACAGAGAAGAAAAACATAGACATCTATGAGCCCAACTGTGAGGTTGCTGGGTAAAGTGGAGACAGAGGGGACAACATACTCCAACTTTCTGGAGACATTGTGCCTTTAGTAACCTGTATCTTGTTAAAACCACAGAAAGTACTGAGGCATGCCGAATATTGGTGAGAATTCTAAGCAGGGATCTTACATGATTCTGTTCCTAGTTCTTCTCACTCTCTAAAATACTTTGTTGGCTTTTCTCATGATAATTTCTGATTCTTTTACATTTGTCTTTGTTTCCCAGATCTTTTCAGTATACTTTGCCAAACTGATGTTGGCTTTTCTGTATTCCATTAGGCAATTATAATACCATTACCAAATTTCTGCTGAAAACTTAGGGGCTAAAGGTGGTTAAAGGAACTGAATAGTAGCCATTATTATTAAGATAACTGTCCACATCTTCCCACGCATGCCCTTTTCGGTCGTATATGTCTCTGGATCCTGTCCCACATCATGTTAATCATGGGGATTTTCCAACATCAAATCTCCGTCTTCTGTTTTCCTGACTCCTTGGCCACAAACATAATTCTCTGATTTGACACCACACACACACACACACACACATACACATACCCTAAACAAACAAAAAATAATTCTATTCCTCATTTGTCTCAACTATTTGATATTACTCTGATCTTTTTATAATATACTTTTAGAAATATATATCTGTGTGTAAATGTGTGTGTGTGTGTACTTTTGAGACCAGAATGGGCTAAGGAAAACTACTTATGAATAAATGGAAATATAATGATTTTTGTAGATATATTTGTGCCTTATGCTTGACAGTGACGTCTTGCTGTAAGAGATTCTGCATGCATGCTTAAAATGCTGCTGCCTGGTAAATGCCCAAATACTTCGAGGTTGAAGACTGGATTTTGAAATGGTTATGAGTGTACAAGGGGAAATAAACATAAGAATAAAAAACATGAGTGGAGAAAGGAATAACATGAACCAACTTAATATCACTTAAAATTACTGAGTGCAAGATTAATCGTCATTAGCATTTTGTAAAGCACAGAAATAGGTGTTTCTTATAAACCATTGAAATGCAAAAGTAATATTGTAAATGTAACAATATTGCTGATGTCATTTTCCTTTTATCGTCATCCACAAATTTCTTAGAAACTGGTTTTAAGTCTTAAAAGGTAAATCATGGCTCTCTTGCACTCTTAATATTTTCCAAATTATATTAGCCTGTGCACTAAATTTATTGCAGCTTATGCTTCTCTTAAAGGAAATGTAAACTTCCTCCTCACCTTACTGTCCCTTGTTAGCAAATAACTAAAAATGTTTTCCATGAAAGTAATTAATGGCAGCAATAAATATAAATTAATTACCATAATGATGATATACTAGCATAATAGTTATTATGTTAAATGCCAGTTAATTATTACAATATGTGTTTCCCTCAAAAATATATGTTTGATTCGGTGACAAGGAACTGTTCTATCTAGAAAATATAAACTAAGAGCCTCTTTAGTATCTTATACTACCTTTGACAATGGAGAGGTTTGGTGTGATTAGTTTCAGCATGGACTCTCCGGGGGAGAAAGTTTGGATGCATAGGTTTGTTATAGTTGAAATGATCTGGAAAAAGATGAAAATACAAGGAACCCGGTCTTGGTTTATGTGGTCTGATAATTAAAGCTTAGAGTCAAAATCTGGAAGCTAGGCTAAATATCAGAATTTTTTATTTTAATGAGTTAGAGCTTGAGAAACTATTTTGAGCTCCTCTTTAGTTTGTATCCTCTTTTGCTGAAGCTGTTACTAGTGGATACCAACCACAGAGATTTCTTGTAAGCATTAAGAAAATGAAGAGAAAGATGCTTTTCACCACCAAATTCTATGTTACCAATGCTATGTCTCCCTTTTTCTTTTTTCATCTCTGCCTTGAGACAATTACTATAGCAGGATAGAGTTTCTGACAATGTATAATGGTAATATATAATGAATATTATACATTAGTTCTTACAGTAGCAAAATGAATGAAGCATGGGCATTCTTTACATTTACAAAGCATGAGCATTATAACAACAGCTTTAATTCATGATTTTTTCTTCTTGCTGCTGCTATGAGAAAATATTCATTTAAGGATTTTATTTCTACTGTCTTTAGTCCTCAGCAAATGCTAGAGTTAGAGACTTGTTGTTTTCACAAGTGGTCTGAGATGGCACATCACCATCCCTTACAAGCAATTTGGCCTTCATTACCAATTAATGAAGTGGTAATTGCTCCTTGCAACCTTTTATGTGCAAAGGATGCTGGTGCTGTTTGCATTATCTTCTTGCAATGTATACTTCTGCTTTCAAGGACTTGTGGTATCTTGCCAAATGTTAAACTACACTGAGATCTCCATAATTAAAATCATATTTTACATCAAATTAGGAAAATCTCTACATAATATGTACTGTTTGATGTCGAGTAAAATGCTGTTCATTGCAGAATAAATTTGCAAATGATTCATCAAAGTAACGATCTCATTATTACTAAAAGGAGCTCAATTGGTTTACATTCAAATAATACTGTCATGATCAAACTTTCTATAAGATGGTTATGGAAAGTATTTGTTCTCTAGAGTTTTTGCTACATCTGTACTTTAACATGCCATTGTGGAACCAAGGTAATGATACTAGAGAAGACTCTATAAAACACTAACTTTTAACACCAGAAATTTTTGGAGCACCAAGTCTGTTGACTCCTTTTTTATATGAAACATATACCTTCATTTTGCTTTGAATATGATTGTATTATTATAGGCACCTCAATGTAAAACCCTAAGAACTGAAACTCTCATATACTCTTATCTTCTTATAAACTCGGTATATAACATATAACTAGAGTGGATGTGAGAAAATGGTATATTGGCAATTATTACAAATACAATGTGAATATTTTCTTTCCTTAAACTGCAATTAGAATGTATCTTGTATATTACTTCTGAGATCTTCTAAAATAGTCTCAACTTGTTTCGTTGTTAAATCTGAGATGTGACAATGAAACTAGGTCAATTTTGCCTCTAGCAAATGAGTCCCTATCTTGTATTTTAGATCCTGAATGATCAAGGCTTTTAAAATAAGTAGTGCTGTTTACTTGTTTGTTTATAAGTTAATAGGTGAGCTAGGAAGAAGGTTTTAAACTGATTGTCACACCAGTAAAGTTTACAAATTGTTTTTTATAATTTAAGAATTTAATATAAAAAAATTTCCCCTAATGAGGCTTGAAGTCCAAATAAATGTCATGTTTCTTTGCTTGTAATTACCAACAATGTAATAAATGAATATTTTATTTTATTTTGTGATTAGAAGGTATGAATTAAAATTTCTGTGTTTTTAAAGATGGCAACAATAAAAACTAGGAACTGCTCAAGGAGAAAGGGAGGGAGGCAGCAAGAGTTGAAAAAGTCACTGTTGGGTACTATGCTCACACCCTGGGTGAGGGGATCAATCGTACTCAAAACTCGACCTCATGCGATGGACCCATGTAACAAACCTGCACGTGGCCCACATTGGGAAGATATTCATACAGATAAATTTTAGGCAGTAACTTTTTTTATTCTGTTTTTTAAACAAACAAAGCAAAAAAATACAAGGAAATCATAACAAAGTGTCAACAGAAATAGAAAAAAGTGTTAATGCATTTTAAATGCTGTTGATTTAGTTAAAAATGTTTACTATCTATTGTTCCTGATGAAAATAATTAATTCCTTTATTGGAGAAAAATGTAGGAACACATAATGTGCTTCACAATGATTTTATTCATATATTTAGCTATAATATTTAAATATTTTCTCTAAGTAAAACGTTTTGTTTTATTCCCATTAATAACTCTCACATGTATTATAAGAAACATAAGCTACGGCAGGCCCGCTTCGGCCATCTCTCCATCCCGCTTTCCCTCGGCTTGCGACTGTGCGCTCAATCCAGCACCATGGGGAAGCGGGACAATCGGGTGGCCTATATGAACCCAATAGCAATGGCGAGAGCAAGGGGTCCAGTCCAGTCTTCAGGGCCAACAATCCAGGATTATCTGAATTGAACAAGGCCTACCTGGGAAGAAGTAAAAGAGCAACTAGAAAACAAAAAGAAAGGCTCCAAGGCTTTGGCTAAATTTGAAGAAAAAATGAATAAGAATTGGAAGAAAGAACTGGAAAAACACAGGGAGAAATTATTAAGTGGAAGTGAGAGCTCATCCAAAAGAAGACAGAGAAAGAAAAAAGAAAAGAAGAAATCTGATAGGCATTCATCTTCTTCTTCATCAAGTTCTGATTCTTCCAGCAGTTCTTCTGATTCTGAAGATGAGGATAAGAAACAAGGAAAATGGAGAAAGAAAAAGAAGAACCGTTCACATAAATCTTCTGAAAGCTCCATGTCAGAAACTGAATCAGAAGTAAGAATAGTTTAAAAAAGAAAAAGAAGTCAAAAGATGAACTGAGAAAGAAAAGTATATTAAAGGACTCAGCAAAAAGAGAAAGATGTATTCTGAAGATAAACCTTTATCATCTGAGTCCTTGTCACAATCAGAGTATATTGAGGAGGTGCGAGCAAAAAAGAAGAAAAGCAGTGAAGAACGAGAAAAAGCAACAGAAAAAACAAAAAAGAAAAAGAAGCATAAGAAACACAGTAAGAAGAAGAAAAAGAAGGCTGCTAGTTCAAGTCCTGACTCACCATAACACTAAGAAAAATCAGGATTCCCTTATAAAGAAAGTGCAATGTCTGAGGAAATTTCAACTGTGAAAACTACAACATATTTACGAAAATGCATGAATTTTCTTGTTTTTAGAATTATTCCTGGACTATTCAGTAGCCACTCAGATGCCACTGTGTGAAAGGGCCATAAATGTTGCCCGCTGCTTGAACATGTATTTTTTTTTTCTCCAGTGCTTGATAACTCTGGGAGATAATATACTGCCGTCATACTAGTGGTTAAGATATTTGGAAATAAAATTAATACTTTTGACTAGAAGTGTCTAAGGATAAACCAATAGAAATTGAATCTGGATACATCTTTAAGATGTAATCAGAAATGACCAGATGATTCTAGTTAAAATTTTTGAAAGAGGGATTACATTAATATTTCAAAACCCTTACTCTGTAGATAAGTGTATTTTAATTTTTTCCCCTCATAGACTTTTATTTACCTTGGGAAGGAGCTTTTAGGATTAGGGGAGTGGTTTGCTATCTCTTTAGCGAGCAGAATAGTGTGCCTTTGATCCTCACACATCCTATATTCTGGACGCAGTAGCCATGCTTCACGGGGAGGTCAGAGCTGGCTACCAGCAGTCTTGCCCTTTACTGAGCTTAGTATCATCCTTGGATGCTGCTATATGCTGCTTTGAGTGAACCAGAGAAACAGCCATTTGCAGCATGAGAAAGCCCCAGAAGCTCTGGGATTTACCTCCACTTCAGTAATCATGAATATTTTTTAGTATTAGAATGTGTTATGTCATTTGAATTAATTTTGATTACACTTTGGCTTGGGAGAGGAATTATTTTAAATAGACACTAGTACTTTTTGAACTTGATAGCTAAAGATTCTAAAATGCATGTTTTACACTAAGTTTTAATCAGTCAGGAAAATTTTATGTAACCAGTGATAGTTTATGTTTTATATGAATTTTGTTTAGGCTGTAATGTTTAGCTTTTGTTAACTCCTCAGTCTTGCTGTCTTAAGTTTATTACTGTGTTTAATGGCCTACTTGCCAAGATATTTAGCATGTAGAAAGCAGGGTTTTGATTAAAAAAAAAAAAAGGCTTCATATTGAAGCTGAGACTTACAATAACAAGTTGAGTAGCAAGCCTGGAATGCTGTGTCTTATTGCCAGAATCTCAGTAAATATAATGTTTTAAAAGTTTGTTGTCTTTGTATATCAATAACAAATTATGACAAGTTAAAACAATAATAATAATAATAATATTTGTGCATATACCAAAAGGTGAAGTTTTTGTGCTCCATACTATAGTGAATATGAAGAGACCTGCCTAAAATTTAGCAAATGCCTATGAAACAAAATTAGACTAACTTTAGCATGTATCATGAATTAAATTTACAAATGAATAGGGGATTCAATAAGGGTTATATAATACAGAAATTTTCCTAAGATTGTCAGGGTTACGGAAGGCATAAGGCAGAAGAATGCACAGTTCCATGGGGTTTTACCGTAAGAAAGGTATATTCCTGGTGGGCGCAGTGGCTCATGCCTATAATCCCAGCACTTTGGGAGACCAGGGCAGGTAGATCACAAGGCCAGGAGTTCGAGACCAACCTGGTCAACATGGTGAAACCCAGTCTCTACTGAAAGTACCAAAATTAGCTGGGTGTGGTGGCAGTGGCCTGTAATCCCAGCTACTCAGGAGGCTGAGGCAGGAGAATCGCTTTAACCCAGGAGGCAGAGATTGCAGTGAGCTGAGATTGTGCCATTGCACTCTAGCCTGGGTGACAGGAGCATGACTCCATATCAAAACAGAAAGAAGGAAGGAAGGAAGGAAGGAAGGAAGGAAGGAAGGAAGGAAGGGGAAGGAAGAAGGGAAGGAAGGGGAGAGAGAAAGAGAGAGAGAGAGAGAAAGAAAGGAGGGGAGGGAGGAAGGGAGGGAGGAAGGAAGGAAAAAGAAAAGAAAAGAAAGAGGGAGAGAGGGAAGGGAGAGAGGGAGGGAGGAAAGGGAGAGAGGGAGGGAGGGAGAGAGGAAGGAAGGAAGGAAGGAAGGAAGGAAGGAAGGAGGGAAGAAAGGAAGGGAAGGAAGGAAGGAAAGGTATATTCCACAAATTCCACAAGAAAGAATAAAGGACAGAATATCCACCACATCTTTCATAAACAATAAAAGTGTTTACATTGAAAATAATATAGTATGTGGAAATATTATTTATCTTGATTCAAACAGTTAGAAAAATTAACATGTGGTTTAGGACCAGTTGTAAGAGGAACACAGATGTGAAACTCAAGAGTTCAAAAGTTTTTGCATAGGTAATAGAGATCCCTAGAAAACTTTACATTCAAGAATGGCATGGCAAAAGATGTAGTTTCCTGCAAGAAGTAAGCAAAATGGGGCATAATAAGAGGAAAGTATGGACACAGAGATAACAGAAACAACTGGTCTAATAGTTTTAGAATCAGAAGTAACATACTCTTATGATGCTAAGTTAAAAGCTTCTCAAAATTTGTCCTAAAGATCACAGAAAATAGTGCTTCACTGTTCTCAAAAATCTTAATGCTTTTACAGACTTTTTACAGTGAGAAAAGTTGTACTAAGATAACCTTAACTACTGTAACCACAAAACCCCAGATATCTATCTATTTCTTGACTAAGAAAAAGTCCAATGTGGGTGTAAAAGGCTTTAAGAATCAAATGTTTGCCATGTCTTCTGTTTGTCACACATAACTTGATTTTATATTTGGCAGAGGCCAGGGGGTGAGGAACATTTATATTTTTACTTCAAGTTTTCTTTCATAGTTCCCCAATACATGTCCATTGAAATGATAGTACATTAAAAAATCATGCATGCTGATATATAGTAAAAATATCATTTATATTCACTTTATTTTACCTTATATCAATTTTACCAAAAACCTGGCACAAATGGGGAAAAGGTTAATAAGCATGAATTTTAGACAGTATTATTTTTTCTTTTTTAAACAAAGAAAAACACCCCAAAACATGTGAGAAAATCATATCATAGTGTCATTGGAGACAACTGATTCGAGCTTTTGATCCTGGAATGTTTGATTAGGCTCTATTAACTGCTAAGTGATTTTTTCCTGAATATTCAACAAACTTCAATGCAACTGAAATGTGTTCACTCAAATTATAAATTACTTTGTGTCCATTAACTCAGGGAACCTTACAAATAAAAAACCAAAACCAAGAATGTTTTTAAATGAGTAAATGATGACTTATTATATAGTGATGGCTCTGACACCCTTATCTTGTGTTCATTATTATCATTAATTCTGCCTCACTCTCTGTTTCTCTTTGATTCTTCAGTGGGAAGAGATCAGCGGTGTGGATGAACATTACACACCTATCAGGACTTACCAGGTGTGCAATGTCATGGATCATAGTCAAAACAATTGGCTGAGAACAAACTGGGTCCCCAGGAACTCAGCTCAGAAGATTTATGTGGAGCTCAAGTTCACTCTACGAGACTGCAATAGCATTCCATTGGTTTTAGGGACTTGCAAGGAGACATTCAACCTGTACTACATGGAGTCCGATGATGATCATGGGGTGAAATTTCGAGAGCATCAGTTTACAAAGATTGACACCATTGCAGCTGATGAAAGTTTCACTCAAATGGATCTTGGGGACCGTATTCTTAAGCTCAACACTGAGATTAGAGAAGTAGGTCCTGTCAACAAGAAGGGATTTTATTTGGCATTTCAAGATGTTGGTGCATGTGTTGCCTTGGTGTCTGTGAGAGTATACTTCAAAAAGTGCCCATTTACAGTGAAGAATCTGGCTATGTTTCCAGACACAGTACCCATGGACTCCCAGTCCCTGGTGGAGGTTAGAGGGTCTTGTGTCAACAATTCTAAGGAGGAAGATCCTCCAAGGATGTACTGCAGTACAGAAGGCGAATGGCTTGTACCCATTGGCAAGTGTTCCTGCAATGCTGGCTATGAAGAAAGAGGTTTTATGTGCCAAGGTAAGAGCCTTCTCTATTTTTCTTTGAGTGATATTTCTCACCTGTGAGTTTATCATAGTGTCATTAAATAAAATGCACTCAGTCTCAACTCACTTGGCAGGAAAACATGCCTCAAACTGACCATAGTTTGTTTATGGACTAAAATTAATTCCATTTGATGTGGTAATTCATGCTTTGCTGTAGAAATATTAATGTATTTGATTATGCAGTGCTGGCCTGCACCCTACATGAGGTGTTATATATGCTATATTTAAGTTGTTCTGCTGTTTAATAACTAAGGTAATCCTGTTCTAGACCACCTGAAAGAAAAACTTTCTATCTCTTTTATGTAGAAAGTTGAGAAATCTTTAGCACTCAGCTAACCGAATTCTAACAGCATTAGATACTGTGGTGGTTTTTTATGCTGGTGCTCATCTAGCTCATAGCAATATTTACTTCGCTGCTATAAAGTACAGTCTTTTCTTCACTGACATCTGGGTATCAAATACATGTTTACTTATAAGAGATTAGTGCTTTTAGAAGATTATTTGATTTAAAAATCCAGAGCTGATGCCTCAGTGTTTAATGTATGCAGGCATGATTTTTAAGTGTCTTTTGCACCGTGATTTGGCTCGTTTTAGTGCTCAGAAGATTATTTGTATCATCCTTTAGGCTTGAATGCCTATTGATATTAATATAACATCACAGAACAAGAACTCTTTAATCAAGTTAATATTTATTAAAATCACTTTATATTTTAAGTGGAATCAATTAAAAGACCATTTTATATAAAATTATGTATATCAGCTATGCTATATCATATAATTTCACTTAATCCCAAAATTTACTTAGCATTAGGCAAGGTTTTATGCTGAAGAACACACTAAAATTGTTACTCAAAATTTAAATGAATAAATACATAGGAGAAGTTAAGTATATTGTCCTTGAAATTTTGTCCATTTTAATGCCTTTGCTTGCTGTTACACTCTGTCAAGTCTGGTGTTCTACTCCTGGTTTCATAATCAGTCACTTTTCTCAAATGCATGTGGAATAAATGAGCCTACTTTGTATATAAATTGTCCTCTTTAAATCTGAACAGAACATAATATTTTGCTTTTGACTATAGACATGGTTTACAGAAAAAAAAAGACATTTTAAATGAGAGTAAATGGTTCATTCTAGCTTCATACTTCTCCATGCTTTTTAGATCCTTGGAAAACACCATCAG